ACATATCTGACTTATTTGTATTAGGATTGTTTGTTTCTTGCCTTTCAGACAGGTGCACTCCTACTAATTAGTCGACTTTTACGACATACTTATGTGTGTGTTTGTGTTAACCCCCCTCCTCTCCCCCCTCCCCCATAGATCTTGAAGCCAATGCGCGAGCTATGTGGTTTGAAAAGAGGTCTTTTACTTTACCTGGAGTGCAACCTCTGGAACCCTTCTTACATTTGCCCTGATGCAGCGTTTGCATGCATTCTTTTCAGTTACACGTCACCACTAGCTTATGATTTGTCAAACAACGGTATTGTCCCATCTTTGAAAGAATGATGGGGGAGGGGGGGGGGGGGGGGTGACCTTAGTGGGGCGTGGCAGTATAGAATGTCACTTTTAGTAGATAGACATTCTGCTGAAAAGTATATTGGTGTATGTGTGTGTGTGAGTGAGAGAGAGAGAGAGAGGGGGGGGGGGTGCATATTGTCGAACTTTATTGGACAAGAAAGGTTGTGTGTCGGTCTGTGTGTGTGATAGAAAGCGCGCTAACTACCGAACTTAATTTGCAACGGGTTTGTGTGTGTGTGAGAGAAAAAGAGAGAGAGAGGGGGGGGGGGGAAAGAGAATTTCTTCTTAAAGCCCATGCCGTGTGGCGTGAGTAGTCTTGTCTATCCACAACCTTCTGTCCCGTGTACTTTCAGTCAACTCTGCCAATCCTCCATGCTATTATATACTGTCCAGCATTTGTTCTCTCTGTCCCCCTCTGCCTCCAACTTTCCTACTGCCACTATTTACTCCAGTTTTCTCCTTCTCGTCACATGACCAAAGAATGTAGATTGTCAGTTCTCTTCGAGAGAGCTAACTAGCCAACTTATTTTCAAAGGTTTGAGGGGGAGAGGGCAAACAAATTTTACCGTTAGATCGTTAAGGGGGGGGGAGGAGAGAACAGTGAAAACGTCCCATTTATAGCACTGTGCATCCGCCTACTCTGTTATCCCTCAGGCACTGTCAGTCATTTCATTCGGTACCAAAGAACTCACCTTAGGTTTGTTGGTTTTAACTGCCTTAGTATAGTTACCTGAACTGCTTGTGATTCATCCAGTCGTTAGACCAGCCCATTCTGCCACCCTATAGTTATCTAAACTGCGTGTGATTCATCCAGTCGTTAGACCAGCCCATTCTGCCACCCTATAGTTATCTAAACTGCGTGTGATTCATCCAGTCGTTAGACCAGCCCATTCTGCCACCCTATAGTTATCTAAACTGCGTGTGATCCATCCAGTCGTTAGACCAGCCCATTCTGCCACCCTATAGTTATCTAAACTGCGTGTGATCCATCCAGTCGTTAGACCAACCCATTCTGCCCCCGTTTTTACCATTACTTCTGTGATCTTATAGTGTTGTTATTTTAGTTCTTCAAGCTTGTACATTATATTATTTTTGCTTTGATATTTGGCCAGGCACAACTGGGATCACTCTCCACCCCACCTTTTTCCACAACAAAAAAGAATAACTTCCTTGCGCTGCTGTGCCCCCTCCCCCCTTTTTTCAGGTTGAGAACCACTAAATTAAAGTAACACCTGCCTAGTGCTGAAAAAGTCAGTGATTAGAAAAACCAGTTTTCTCAGCTATGGTTCCATCTACGGACTGACTGACTCTCAACCCCACCAGGACATCACACAAGCGATAAACACTCGATGACACAAAGTGCCACCATGTGGAGAAGTCCCAGAAACCGCGTTCAGACAATTGGCAATATTTATGGCCTGCTTATATTTCGGCCCCTGGCAAAAGCCAGGGTGTGGCTTCAAAAAAAAAAAAATTCATCCTCAAAAGAACGAAACTGGATACAAGTAATAAGTTCCATCTACGATTGTTTATGTATTATATAGTGGTCCAGTATAAGAGCAAGTGTTCCCAGCATTTTGCCTATTTTTAGCCCGCCTGTAGTGTTAAACTAGAACTGCAATGCCATGTTTGTCGAGTGTCTTCTCCGAAAGGTTTGTCATTTTTGTCGCTTGTGCACACGAATGTTGAATAGTTGTCATGCACCACTGACAGCCACACATCTTTAATATGCGGCAGTCAGAGAAAAGGTTAGGAATGTGTGTTGGTATGGGAGGTGGTGGGGGATCTGACAGTAGAGGCTTGCTTCAGTGGATATGTGTACCCACTGCTGTCTTTAGGAGTGGCACATGATGCCGCCACAATCTCTCCCACGGTGCGGTTCTCATACCATACATACATACATACGTACGTACGTACGACTGCCCAGAACCACGAGAATGGTTTTGTATTGGCAATACACCCCAGTGAAGTCTTGATTGTGTCTTGGGTACCACAGCTCTCATTTCCTGGCTGACCCTGAGCGCCCCCCCTCCAACCTCGGGACCACTACCTGAAGGTTTGACAACCCTGCAAGCCGGATGTCAATCATATACCTGTTCAACCTCCTTAGGTAGTCGAGGATAAGGATCATTTCATTCTTACATGTGTGCTTGTGCACTGAGAAAAATATATGGCCTAAATAAAATATATGTGCCAACACACAGAAGCACAACATATAGAACTGCAACTAAGTTCTTATCTTCGTTTGTCCGATGATGGATAAACCAAGTGTTCACATATCTGGCCCTATTTTTTTTTCTCTCATTACTGTTTTGCCTTGTGCTCTGATAATTGTGGTTTCGGTTTCTGAAGTTGTCCTTTGGTTCGTATATGCGGGTTTTTTGACATCTCTAGGAAGTGTTGTCACTAGAGCTACAGTTTCATACTTTCTTGGACTCTCTTAATGGGCTTACAAATGTTGTGCGAAGAGGGATTGGGCCATTTAGGCAAAAACAGATGCAATGAAATCGATTCTTTAGTCTTTAAAATATTTTAATTAATCGTTTGATCTGCAGTAAAAATATTTGGAAACGGGAGTTAAGAGAGCGAAGCAAAAAAAATGATCACAGGGTGAGCCTCATGCAGCATCAGAGTATAGAAAGACTTGGAAAGAAGGGGGGGGGGAGGGGGGGGGGCAATGAAGCAGACATGGTATAATACAGTTTCAGTCGCTAGAAGAGGCAGGATTTTCCCCATTCTGAACTGATGGGGGGGGGGGGGGTGTCGATCCAGACATTTTCTGGAAATTGTGTCCGAAGGGAACTGGCAACTTTACCTTTTATGTTGTGGTGTCAAATGTGTGAAACCTTGGCAGTATCTGCTGTGGGATCACCTTTTTTTTTTTAAAGACATATAACTTGCTACATATTTCTACATATTCACATGTTCTTACATCTGGTATCCGCACATAGAGATGTTTTAGCAAGTGTTTACATATGTTCTCTTGGGTTAAATTTTAGCAGTGCATACGCCTCTTGTCATTTTATTTGTTTATTTTATTTCATTTTTGCCTGGCTTGCTAAAACATAAAAATGTGACTAGGTCTAAGAATTCATTACTTCAGGTCTAATAATCTATCTTCATAAAATCTGTCACAGAAATAATATCATATAGACATGTGTATTTTAGATTTTAGTAATAAAAACATGGCGAAAAAAAGAAAGAAATATACAGCATAGGAGAACAAGAAAGGTGTAACATAGATGATATATTAAGGTGATCTGTGGTAGCATTTTACATGCCAGCCCTAGAATATTAAGTGTTGTCTTGTCTTGTCTTGTCCACAATTGCCTCACAGCCTAGTGGGGAGTCGCAGTTTTCTATCCTGGGCCAGGTGTGTTGCACGTGTTGTTGTTAGTCTGTGTTGCCTCAGGATCTCTGATATATTGTCGATCCATCGTACTCTCGGTCTGCCTCTTGCTCTAGGGCAGTAGTGCTGTTCGTTGTATGCTTGTAGAGGCAGTTGGTCGGTTTGCATTCGCATCAAGTGGCCAAACCACTCTATTTGTTGCTTCTTTATGTATTGCAGGCATGGTGTGGTTCCTACAATTGATCTAATGTTCTCGTTTCGAACTCTGTCTCTCCTTGTGACATTGGCAGCCTTACGTAATCATCTCATTTCGCACGTCGTGATCTTTTTCTCCTGTGCTCTTGTTAGGGACCAGGTTTGGCATTGGTAGCAGAGGGTTGGTATCAACATGCAATTTATCAGTTGTCGTTTTAGTGCCATAGTGATGCTTGGGTTATATTGGAATATTAAGTTCAGTTCTAATTTTAAATAGATTTTTAAAAAATGGACATTGGTCCCAGGGGTTTCCAGCCATGAAGTGCTCTGGGAAGTAAAAGTGACTGGCAAGGTATTGACTGCATCACCTGTCGAATGACACTTCTATAATATATAGGCCTAGTACCATATACCCGTAGACAGAAACAGAGGAAGCCAGTACACAGATACCAACTGTCCTTGCTGCCTATATTTACCACTGTTCAGGGTGGTGTTGGACAGGGAAGCTCCAGCCAGAGAGTTTAGAGACCCCTGGTTAGTGCAGTCACTGCCAACTAGCTGTACAGGGTAGGGTTTTTGTTTTTACCCTAACAGAAAAGACTTGGAGGTGAGGAGCGACTTCTAAAAACTGTCTATCAGTTCAGACAAAGAACCAGTAGCTATTCGCTGAAGCATAATAATTAACAACTATTGCCTCTCTCTGCAGGTAAAGACCTACAAGCATGTCATGAAAGGTGATAATTAGGAGCTTTGCTGAAATCAGCTGCTAGAGGTGGATAAGTGCAGATATCACAGCCTGGCACAATGTAAACCACAGTGTAACACGCAAACCACTCTTTATAAGCGCAAACCACTCTTTATAAGCGTGAACACAAAAGAAGAACAGAGTGAAGTCAGACAATTTCCCCCCACCCCCCAAAGTAGGAAGGACAGGATCACAGTGGAGGTTGATTAAGGACGTATATCTGCATTGGGAGGGAAATGGGATAAAGGCCAGAAGAAGAAGAAAAAGAAATATTGCCTTTTCTCTCAGTTTACTTATTTAATCCAAACATAATTGCAATGAATGTGAACAATCTTAATTCACTTGTTTTTTACTCCCATTTTTTTTAAATTTCAGTTATCAGGATGTGCACTCCTTGGTGTTGGAATATGGCTGAGAGTAGACGAGAATGCTGCAGAATTTATGCACAAGTCCGACAAAATATACATCATTCACTCGCTGTCATATGGCCTGATGGCCATTGGGTGCCTCATCATGATTATTGGCTTCCTGGGATGTTGTGGGGCAGTTAGAGAAAGCCAGTGTATGCTTGCATCGGTGAGACCTTCAGGAACATAATATACTTTATTTTACCGATTTACTTTAAACCAACCATAGGACAGCATATAGCTCTGTAATCATAGGTTGCCCAAATACAACAGTTTTGTATGGTCAAATGGGGTATCCAGGGCCTTCTCCTGTTGGATTTGTATCTGAAAAGTGGCTCTTTGAGTCACTAGATTTCAGTCTTTCAATACCAGAGAGCAGATTTTGATTTAAAAAAAAATAACAACAATAAAATAGGGCCTAAAGAGACATACATTGGGAGACAGAATAAAAAAATCCCCTTGTATCAAGAGGTGAAGAAAAGTGCTGGCCTTGGATAGGACACATGTTAGAAAACCCTCAGTATGACTGGGAGAACAGTATAACTAGAAAGGCTTCACTGTGGAACCTACAGAGGCATTAAGATAAAGGTAGACCAAGAACCATTAAGAAGGGAACTATAGAGTAAAGTTTGAAAGTGGGGGAGTACATAGGATGAGCTGCATGTGTTAACAAAAGAATAAGGAGACTTAGTGTGAGTTGGCTGGGGGACTATGCTTCTTGGAAGGTGGAGGATGATATAAAGGGCAAAAGAATTAAAAAAAAAAAACATTAGATCTCTAGTGTTTTGTTATGCTTACTTAAAAATATATTTTGAATCATGGCAGAAAACCTAATGTTATTAGCAGCAAACATTTATTTGGCATGAACATACAGGGATAGTTGAATTAGCAGTCAGTGTTAAAGAGGTTTTGAGGAGTGGCTGGCCGAATGATTAGATTGATGGGCTCTCACGCAGGAGACCCGGGTTTGAATCCTCGGTAAGTCTAGAGACTTTTTTTCTGTCAGGGGCAAAATAAAATCCTCACCTGCACAGTCGTGGCGACAGCATGCGGTCGTGAATCTTTGGGCTTGAAGCCCCCCTATCTAGGCCGCAAAAGTGGTATAACAAAGGTAGAAAAATTGGCAGTTAAAAAGATTTTAGCCTAACTTTTCATACAAATGTTGGAAATCTACATCATTATAATATAAAGACATGTTGCAGGTAGTTAGAAGGTCTTATTCTGTCTTTTATCCTCCACTGGAGCATAGACCTTTAACTAATGTACAAGCACTTCTGTTTTTGTGTGTGTGTGTGTGTGTGTGTGTTTGCCATGTCCTGCAGCTCTCTCCTCTCATTTTTATTCACCTGTCTTAAATCATCTTTCACATGTGTTTTAGATTTTCTTGTATTTATTTTACTTCAGTGATTTCTAGGTCAAGAATCTTCTAGTTATAATGTTCATAATTTAGTTCAGTGTGTGTGTCATATCCAGTGCCTCTGTATTTTCCTCACCTTTTGGTTCACTGGAGTTTGTTTTTTTCTCTCTACATGAGTTCAGTATTCTTAATTATGTTATACCTTCTGCTCTTATTTAAGCACAGTTTAATGAATGAATGTAATTTATTTTTGATTGCATAATTATTCTAAATGTTTCTGATCCAAACAGCAGTACTGATTTGATTTGAGAGTTAAATATTGTACGTTTGCTATGATCATCATCGTCAGGTAGCAGGTCCTTTGCAGAACATTGCTCTCATCACGGTCTGCCTGAAAGATACTCGGTCTCTCGACAGCTCTCCTGCCTTATGTAGTTTCATACTCAAGGGGTCACTTATATCCTGTGCCCATCTTCATGTTGGTTGGCCCCTGCTCCTCCTTCCTGGTACCATGCCTTCTGCTTTTAATTTTACCACTCAGTTGTGGCGTTTGATAAGACCAAAATATTTCAGCTTCCGAGACAGGATGCTGTTTATTAGCCAATCTTCCTTGATGTTCAGATTTTTCAAGATGTCAGTTTTCTCCTCTTCTTTGTCCAGGATATTCTGAGAATTTGTCTATAGCATTTCAGCTCAAAAGCCCCTATTCTCTTTCTTAAGGACTGGGAGATAGTCCACGACTCACATCCGTATGTAGCCAAAGGGAAGATGGATGCTCTCAGAATTTTAATTTTGATGTCCTTGCTACAAAGATCCCTGGGATCATCGCTGGAGCTACAGAGCCCATGCATTGTGCTGCACTCTTGGTGGTTGGCTTGCCATTCTTTGGAGAGAGACAGATCCATATAGGGATCAAATCTGGTGCAATAAAGTCGATCTTTTCACTATTGAACCCTTTTTAAACCTTGTAATACAACCTCAATTGATACATGTTATAATTAACATTTTTATTTTGCTTTTCATTTCTAGTTCTTCGTCCTGCTGTTCATAATCTTTGCCACCCTGCTGGGTTTTGGCATTTGGGCAGCTGTGGCCAAAGAAACTGTGAGTATTTAATGAATTTTTTATCTGACCGACTGGGGTAAATAAAAAGGGAGGTAGAATCAGAAACTAGTACTAGGCATGGTTAATTTACGATATCAGACTTTTAGCAAGAGCTACTCGTTAACATAGGGAGTCGTAGCGGCTAGACGCGTGCGGATTGGAAGGTCATGGGTTTGCTCCCTGGCAGGGCTGGGCTTTTTTCAGAAATGACCTTGACTCCCAGATCGACCCAGCCTTGAGTGGGTAACTGGTGCAGTCCCAGGAAGTAAAGGCGGCCGGCATGATGCTAACCACATCACCTATCTTGTGACGATTGGTCTATAAAAATATAGGCCTAGCCCTATACGCCTAACGGCCTGGAAAAGGGACCCTCACTTTTGTATTTTTACTTGTTTTTATTGCTGTTTTATACACTTACTATAAGTTAGTGTAATTTAAAAACAAAATATAAAATACTTTTCAGGAAAATTGCAAACTCATTTTTAGGAACTATGAAAATCCTAATTATGCCATTTCCATAATGCATATTAGTTGCAGTGGATATTTAGATGCACTACTATCTTGTAAATATTATATGGCGAGGCACTCAGTCTCTTCCACGGTGTGGCTTCCCTAACCACTGACCTAAAGCAACTTGCCGCAGTTATCAAACCATGGTACACCAAGGATTGCCAGGTTCACTAACCACTAAGCAACATAGTCTGCATGAGACCATGAGTAACTGCGTGCCTATGTGCAATTTTCTCTGCAGTTCTACATTTAGGCATGGATCTGTTTCTTTGAAATTGGTATTTTAAAAAGTTAGTAATGTTATTGTTCTTTTATAACTTTAATGGCTGTATGTATTGATCAATTTCTTTAGTTTTTTTTTTTCTAACTTGTTTCTCTCAAGATGGTATTGTCAGCATAATATAAATGATCTGTACTATGGCCACAAACATTATATTTTAATAAGATGTCATCATGATGTCTCTTTGGGGAGGGGGGGAGGGGTCTTCCTATGGAGCATAGTACCTCAGCTGATTCATGACATATTGTTGTATTCTTTGCCATAACATGCAGCTCATCCTTTGTCTCTTCCCACTACCCCCATTGTTTTACCTCCTTCTCTAATTTTCTTATCTATATGTTTGGTCTGCCTTGATTGTTTTACTCAGTGGGCTTCAGTGTAAGAACGTTCTTGTTATATTTTTTTTATCAACTTTTCTCAGTGTGTGTCTTATCAACATCTTTATCTCCCTTCTTGATTCACTGAAATTTGAGATTTCATTTGCTGTATGTATAACAAACACAAATCAGGAAAATTTGAATATCTTTGTCCAGAAACGTTATTTATGCACTGAAGTTTTCTTAATTGGTTTATAATTTTTTCCCCTGTAATTTTCTGCCAGTCTTTATAAATGAGTGCACAAATGAATAGTTTTAGATTTGTGTGTTGTAGAACGTCAACTGAAAATGACTTGTTTTCATGATGCTGTGTTACAGTTCAGACAGTTCACTGAAGACATGCTAAAGGAAGGTGTGGAAAACTATAAGGAAAATCCAGGACTCATGGACTCTGTTCAGAGCTATGTAAGTATTTAGTGTAGAGGGGACAGCCAGGGCTGGGCCCGGTGACTAGTGTAGTTGCCTGCCTGCCTGGTGATCATGTGTTTAAACTTCCTGTGATGCGGCCTTTTTTTTTTTAAATTGACAAATGCTGTCAGGTCCACCCAGTTTAAACTGGGTATTAGACAAGGCAGCTGGCGTGAAGATGATCATGTGACCATTGGTGAACCTACCAGTGAAAGGGGAGACCTAGAGGAGTATTCAAATTATAGATGAATAACGTTATTATCAGTTCGTGGAAAAATATTTAAAGATCCAGAGATTTCAGTAGCAAACGGTGATGAACACACCATTTTCTGACTAAAAACAGCATTTGGCCCCTTTTTATTGTCAATGTTCCTTTCCTTGTTTAGGAAGATACAAAACAATAGACACTCTGCCGCTTAACATTAAATGTGACAAATTAGGAATCTGCTTAAATTGGATTGTTTGACCAAAAGATGTAGATATTGCAGCCTAGCTGTAAATGTCAACACAGTGTGCGAACCACCCTTTTAAGGGCAAATGCAGAAGTAGAAAAATCTTCCCATCCCCTCAAATATTTCTTCATTAGAAAGCCTCACCACTTCCATATGTGCTCTGCAGCTATATTTCCCAGCTGTCTTTCTGTTCTGTCAATGTAGGTCAGGTGGCATCTGCATTGAAATTGACATGCAATTAAATTTAAAGCTAGCATGTGGGGACACACGTTCGTTAACCATGGGTTTGAAATAGGAGGGGGTTTCTTTTTTTTTCTTCTTCTTTTTTCTCCTCCTCCTTCCTCTTTTGTTCCCCATCCACTGGCTGTAAACTCTGACAGAAAGCTCTCGTTGGGAATCTACTTCTGGGCTTTATTGTTATTAGAAAACTTGAGTTTTGTGTGCACATCTGTTTAACAGGTCTTTCTTATTTGTATGCAGACATTCGGTTTCTCGCCTCGCTGGCAGATGCACTCCAACTTTAAAGGAAACACAACCTTTTCTCCTACCAACATTGCCCCCTCTCCCGCCCCACAATGGAGCCCTGGAATCCATACAGGGAGGATTAGAAGTGGTTTGTGTCTAACCACTGGACCAATGGTAGTAACATCTGTCAGGGGGAGGTTTGGGTAGAGAATCGTAACCACTTTGTTTTCTTATAAATGTTAACTGAATAAATATCTGAAGCTTAGAGACTGATGTTTCATGGCGGGTTTGTTTCAGTGGACAGCAGCAGTGTTTTATGAATCTAGTGGTCTGTCCGCATCGGTGGAAGGTAGTCTTAAGGGTTTCTCTGTCAGTGCAATTTGAATGCATATTTTTAGTGCAGTTAAACAAGGCTTATATCAGGCCGGACTTAAGTTGTTTTTTTTTTACTTTTCATCTACCAGCTGTTAACTCCAAGGAACAATGGGAATTTCTGATTGTTAGTCTACTTCCAGACTTTGATCTTGCTCCAGGCAATGACTGTTGGTTCCTCGTCTCTCAAGTCAGATGCGCCCACCCCCAACTTTTACGGAAACATTAATCCTGCCTATGTTGGTCAGGCCTCTGGTTGGGGACCTGTTTTTTCTTTTTTAAAAGATTGACAGTGGAGAGGGTTTGAAAAGTTCCCGACTATAAATGCAAGATGAAAAGATTTTGTAAACACTGGTTATGACATTTTGTGACGCCTGATCATTTTCCATGTTATGTTAACATCACACGTTTACTTTTGCTTTCAGTTCAGCTGTTGTGGCTATAAACTTGGATTAGTTGACTATGGTTTGACAGAACCGCCTCAAAGTTGTGATCTATTGAATTCACTCAAGGTAATTGTGTGTGTGTGTGCGCGCACGTGGGCAGGTGGATGTTCTGTTTGTTTATAACTGGCATATGTCAGGTGTGTTCCTGGAACTCATAAGAACAAGCACTGAAAACGGGAGGACCTCAGTCAAGCTGATATTAGGAAATGAATCCACTGGACTGTGACTTTGAAACTTAACTCTTTCAGGCTCATGAATTTTGACCTGGCTTGCATTAATTTCTTTTTACAAGAATAGGAGGGTGTGTAAAATAAGGGCAGTAGAAAATGTAATATATTTCTAATCCCTACACAATTGTGTGTGTGTGTGTGTGTATATATATATATATATATGTATTCTTTTTATATTTAATTTTTTTTTTTCAGAGGAGTGAATGTACATTTTGAATTTGAATGATATGTCAATGTGTGATGCTGTTATAGTTAGGGAAAAAAGAATTCAGCAGGTGTTATGTTTACATAGGCAAAGTTTTGCTAAATAATTCTTCACTCAGTGTGGTTTGGCAGCCAAAAGAGCAATGAATATCCAGATTTGAAAATATAACTTTTTAAAGTTTTTTTGAATTTCCTAATAAATTAAAAAGTTATGATGAGTTTCTGGGTTAGTTAATCACTCACAGGCTGTAGGTTTTTATAGGGTGCTGAACCAAATTTGAAAGAGAAAAATGGACATACAAACACAAAATATTAATTCTGTACAGTTTTATACATACTATAGCTGTAATGATTTAAAGGCAGATTAGTCATAGTATGTTAGTGTTTGAAACAGACCTTTAGAGGTAAATGTGGGTGACTGTCACATCCTTGACACCTGAAATGGGCCTTCTGTGTTAGACCCATTAGAACTGCTAGATTCTCTAACAGCTAACTGTTCAGCTGTCGTTGGTGTCAATTCACTGTCTGAATTACTTTCAGACAAATTTAAGTTTTCATTATCATAATCATAAAAATCTGATTCAAACAATTTCAGAGCTTCACCCACTGAACGGCGCATTTAGCAACCTGTACTTGTGCTTGGAACATTGGTATCCATCATCAGATAAAGACGAAATAGACCAATTCACCAACTGAAAATATTCTTGCAATAAATTCAATAATTGTGCACCTAAATGTATACACAAAGACTTGTAAGTAAACAAAACCATTAGAGCAACTTTCCTAAGATTCTAAATATAGTTTTGAATATTAAAAAATAATACAGAACTGTATACAAAACAATATGAGCGGGACACACTTCGATGCATACTGTTTTGTTTGGACAATTCAGACCTTCTCAACACACACTGCTTTGCTTGCGCTTGAAAGAGTTAATGAAGAGGAGGAAGGGAAAGTGAAAACACACACACACACAGAAATAATTAGACGTTTTGGCTGAAGCCTTTATTGACAAACAACGGAGCAAAAGGGATAAGAATCCTGGCCACTGGTTCCCACAATAAAGTGTCACATGATAACTATAAAATATAGGAAGAGGAAAAGATTATGCGGAACAAGGCACACAAAAAATAACAAAAATAGTAATAATTATAAATGAATAGTAGGAGTAATAGAAATAATGAAAGCAATAGTAACAGATATATTAGTAGTAATAACATCATTGGGGATAATAATAATAATAAGGAAAAAAATACTAATGAAAATAAAATAATTTTTAAAAAGTATATTTAGAGTTTAGGTGCTCAGAACACCTAAACTCTAAATAAGGAAATTTTTCAAAGAGAAAAGTGTGGCTTGATCACCAGAGCAATATTTTATGGCAATGATAGAGATTTCATTTTCATCTTTGTGGTCCAAAATGTTGAAATGAAGAGAGGTGGTTTGAGTAAGAACAAGCAAGCATTTTCATATTAAGACTTATGCATTCTGCTTGCCCTTAACTTTTGTCCCTAAATTAAATTTTTTTTAATTCAAATAATTCCTCACCCTGGAGATTTTCAAGTGAATGTGTAAGTGATGTGTTGGGTGATTCTTTCGACATAATTATAGACTTTGAATTCCTACTAAAACATTCTCTGAAACCTTGATTCCCAGGGAATTTTGGGTCATTTTGACACAATAATAAAACAAGATTATTAACAAAACCCACATACCTTTTTAAACCTAAGAAGTTATTATTACAGAAGTAGTGATAATGTCTAAGAAACAGATTGTAGCTAAATGCACAATTAAATTCAGTGGCTTTAATTTAAGACAAGCACCGAAGTTTAAATAATATCAGATGGAGGATGTGTCATATAAATAAAGAACAGAATAGTCAAAGATAAAAAAAAATATACTTTTTTATCAATGAAAAACATCTTGCGCAGTAAAACCTTGTTATAGGAGGAGGTTATGAAAAGAATTTGTGCATGCTACTTAGAAGAAGTTTCAGCGTATGGCTATACATTCTGGACAGTCAGTATACAAGAGAGTAAACTTCTTGAAGTCTCAGAGTTGTGATTTTTCAAAAGAATGTTAAAAAACTTTTTTTTTTGGACAGTTAGAATGGGGCTTTCTGTGGCGAAGTAGCCAAGCTGTTTGCTCTGAAGGTCGTAGGTTTTTTCAGTTACATCATTTGGTTCTTAAATGCAGTTTTTACGGAGATCCCTGTTTTTTTTTTACCGGAGTTACAGAGTTTGCCCTTTGTTCAACTCTCTCGGCTAACCGCTCTGCGGAGAGAGACTGAGCCATATGAGATAAAAACCCATACAATGAAGTCTGTCCTCTCGACTTTAAATTGACAGCCAGAATGAGTAATCTAGATGTTTTTTTTTTTAAAGGCTAAGATCCAAAGACAGTTTACCATGAAGAGATGGTTATCATTTCATGAGCAAGCACATTATGTAGTGAGAAAAACTGATAATGCGACAACTGGGAAGAGTTATGTCAAGAGAGATAATGGAAGACACTGAAAGAAGATTCCTGTCAGCCTTTTGTCATGGCTTGGAAGAGTCAGGATGTGACAGTAATCACAAGTTATGGGAAGCCACGATCACCAACACAAGCTGGTGTTGATACTTTTTTTTAAAAAGCCTTGCAGATTCAGGAGAAAGAATATTTTAGTTATTAATTTTAATAGGGTTTCTCAGTGTGTACCCTATCTAGTGCCAGCATCTTTTCCTCACCACTTGGATTTCTCTCTCTCTCCTCCCCCCCTCCCTAGTGTTTTTTCTTTATACTGGTTACTGTCACACCAATTTAGTTCTGTTTTGTACAGGTGCCACCGCTCCAGTTTATCTTCAGAGCATTCACCGGCTGTAAACTCCCAACAAAAAGTTCTGGGTTGTTTGTCCATTTCTGGACTTTGGCCCTGTTTCAGGAGTTTTATGTGCACAACTTTTTTTTACAGATCTAGTAATATTGTGTGCAGACTATTGTTTCCTCACCTCTCAGTCAGGGGCATTCTGACTTTAAAGGAAGACTCCCTATTGGTTTTTTTGATTAATCATCCATTATGATATGCTTGGGGGAGGGGGGGGGGGGGGATTCTCCACCACCACCAAATGGGGCTCCGGAATTTATACGAGGAAAGTACCACTAACTATTACAAATTTTAATTTAGTTGTATTTTTGGGGGTGGTTATTTTCCATGCTTCTTATCCATATAAGGTTAGTTGTGTATCCTTTACAGAACGTTGCAGAACCAACCCCAACAGCCCCTGGCTGTTGTGTGGTTTTTCTAGGCAAATTTACGTTCAGTAGTTTGCCATTGCTTTCTGGACGGTCTGCTTTCTTGATACCACTGTCAAAACCAACGCAAGGCGCATGGCCCGCAGCTGTTATTGAACCCGGCATCCTGACATTACGAAGCGTTTGCATCGACTTAGCCACAGAGCCGACTCTTATCCATATAGAGATACTAATGTAATGTTTTCTTTTTCTAGTTGTTTGTAGCTTTTGTTGGTCATGTCCTGGGAAATAAAGGTGGCCAACATCATCCATCCTTTACTTACTGTTTTGTATGTTTATTTTGCAACTTTATCATACTTGTTTACAAGGTGTCATTACTTCCATGAATGTAACATCTTGCCAGAGATTAACCTAAAGCTTTATACTACTACTTAGTCCAAATTGTGCATTTTCTTTATATGTTTGCTCATTGACATTTTTCTTGTCCAGCCTTGCACAGAAGAGGTCTATGGCTGGTTGGAAAACAGGCTGGTCATCATTGCTGGTGTTGCAATTGGATTTGCTGTGAAAATGGTGAGTACATTTATTTAGCTGAAAACAGGGGGGGGGGGGGGGGGTCCTCCATGACCAAGTGATTCAACAGTTTGCCCTGAGCTTCAAAGTTTTTGAGTTTGAGGTCAGACTGCCTCATTTGGTTCACTACAGAGATTCCTAGAGTTCATCATTGAGGCCACATAGTTTGTGATTTGTGCAGCTTCTCAGTAAGTGGCTAGATCTTCTGTGGAGTTAGACCATGCTATGTGGGATAAAACCCAGTGCAATGGAGTCTATCCTATCACCCTTGTACATTTTTTATATTCAGCCGTTTTTATGATGCCTCAGCCGCCAGGCTTGTTTTTCGTAACCAGTTTTCAAGGTGAACTTCTGGATGAATTATTACAGCTGTTTTTAAACTGACCACATATGTGCAGCTTTGGGAAGGAATTAAACAAATAACAATGAATCAATAGGTGAGGAAAAGAAGCTGGTTTTGCATAGGACAAAGGTTTAGAAAACATAACAATGTATAGAATGTGCTTGCAGTGGAACCCACATGGTCAAAGAAATAAAGGTAGCTTAAATTGCACCTATTGAAGAGAATGTGGTGAAAATGACTGGGAGATCACAGGATGAGCTGCAGTATCATATGATAGGAAGTCTTGACACAAGTTGTTGAGAGCCTTTGCTGCATTCAAGGATAATGGACAGCAGAAGACATTGCCATGGCCACTGCGAGTTAACACCTTCTGTTTCTTGGGCACCTTTTTTGTTTTAGAGTTTACTTTCTAAACAGTTGCACTCCTCTACTGATCAGATCTGTCTTCCCTGATAATGGATCGCTGCATTCAGAATATTGAAAGGACAGCCTGCAGGTTGAGGCTGCAGTCTCTGTTGCTTGTCATCCCACTCTGACAACACAACCAAAATATATGCTTCACTCAGGTAAAACAGTGTATCTCTTCATTTGAAAAGGTACACAAAATACCAGTCTATGGCTAGAGAACACATTGATCTGAAAGAAAAATAATGCACCACTGCAAATGAAATTAAAGATAGTGTTTTTGATCACAGGCATGTTGAGAAAAAAGCTACTATGTTGAAAATAAATTGATATGCTTAACTTGCTACAGGTGCGAGATGATTTTGCTCTTTTTACAGAACCTCTTTGCAAGATATCTGTGACACACACTTCAGATAAATGTCCTTCATAAATCTGACTTTAACTGGCAGAGAATCTTAAAATTAGTGGACTTCCGGCTATGCAGTAACCAGAAACCAAGCAGTTGGCTCTGATACTGTTTAATTCACCTCCAAAATCATGGAGGAAGAGGTCATTTGTTGAGTCAGTGACAGCCTGTTGCTAAGGTTGCTACCTTATAAGTTTTGTGCCTTATCTTTGTCCCTCCTCCAACTGCTACAACTATTTCTGCTCAAATTATTATTTTTACCACTGCACTTCTTTGCAGCTAATTTGGGAGACAATTATCCCTCCCCTCACCCAGAAACATTCATTTAAAGGTGACTTATTCGGGATTTGCTGAAATCAGATGTGTTGAGCCAAAAGGCACTTATTGCAGCCTAGCTTTAACTGCAACACAACGTGACAGCTCCCTTTTGAGTGCAAACACAGAAAAAGAACTGCTGCAGTCTCATTGCATATAATTCTACCTTCCTCAAATTCAGACACGTAATAGTTAAGCTACCAACTGTTTATAATACAATGATTTATAGTAACACCTGTTAGGGACCGACAGAGTTCATTGTGAATATTATGTTTGCCCTCACATATAATAAAAAGGATACTACAATTGTGTGTGAATGGACTGTTTCAGATTCTGGGCATGGTGTTCTCAATGTTGCTATGCTGTGCCATCAGGGAACAGACGTAAGTATTGCATGGTTTACTTGTGAATGCTATAGAAACAAAATGCCAGAGAGCAAGTTCACTTATATGCCAACAGACACAGTTTGTAGGACATCCAAATATAAACATGACCACCAAGTGACATATTATAAACAGCCTATTGTTACCAGCACTGCGCCAGACTTTAAAATCAGTGAAAGCTCACATAGGTAAAGTTAACACCTGTGAGATAAGATGCCAGAGGAAAGCTGCCAGCATAACCATGAAGACCAGTTGAGAAATGACACTTTTTTGTGGGAACAACGCCTTACTCTAATATAATTGAGAATGCAATGACTCGTCCTGTCTAGGTTTAGTTTTCACCCAACTGCAAATGTTAATGTCAGTGACACTTCATGAAGACGGTGGGAATTCACACACAGAAAGTTTACTGTTGATGTCTTAATTGTATCGGGGATGGGTGTCATTCTCGTTGATCGTCCTGACAGTCACTCTTGTTATACACTTATTGACCTATCCTGTTGGGGAATCTCTTGTGACGTCATTGGGTTTCCTGCATCATTACAGAGAAGCAGAAAATTGAATGTTTTGTTCAGTGTGTTAGAATGTAGCAGTAACAGCTACCAACACAAGTACTACACCTAAAAAAAAAATGTGATGTGCTGTAACAGGGCACCCATGGAGAAGATGGATTACGGACATTAAAGACATAAGCGCTGGACTGCAAACTGTTCCTCCCCACAACACTGGCAGAAGTATCAAATGGAATACGAGCCCTATGTAACGGCACACAAAGTGTGATGATGATGATGTAGGTGTAATGCTTTCTAATAATGAAAAAAAAAAAAATCTTACTTGCATGTTCTGTTGTTTTGTTAATTCTCACTAATGTAAAACTTATTGTTTCAGTGCATAGAACACTTCAGCTGTCCTAAGTCCTTCTAAAGGAGCTTCAAGAATGTGAACAGGGGAGCCAAGATGGCATCACTTTTGTTTGCAGCATTGAGTTCTACAACAAGGATAACAGGGCGATCATCACCAGCTTCAGATAATAATGCTAATGATTGTGTTACTGTGATGTTAGCAAATACTTTACTACTTTTTCCAGATTTCAGTGTAGGGTTTATTTATAAGATTGTCACAGTGTAACAGCAACAGTTTCCAAGTTCGATGTATTGTGTATTTTACTGTCGATCGAGTTAAATGTTGTTGAGTGGTATTTACATTGGTGTTATTTGGTTTGGATTCTGTAAGGTTGGCATTTTTGCGTTATAAATCTCTGCAGTAAGGAGGCGTTGAATTTTGTTCGGAAGATGTTTTATAGCAAAAAGAATCCAGAAAAAAACATTTTCTTTTTCATCTGCTTGTTTCTTTTTTTTTAAAAAGAAATTGTTCTCAATAATTATCATATGCCAGAAATACAAGCTTTGCTGAAAAATAATTATGCTTAGAAATATTTATGATTAATAATTGTAAAAATATTTTTGGTGTATAAATAGTTAACAGTATATAATGCACCATTGACGTGGTAGTTATGTCGCAGTTATGGTTCATAAACTGTTTCTAGCCATGTAGTATAACTTGGCTAGATTGGGTGAACCGGTCTTGTTCTTTCCTTTTGCCTGAATCTTCTTTCTTCCAGTTTCTCTTTTATTCACCCAGTTGGAGTGTTGGCTCTTAACCAGCTCACAAGCATCTCTCTTTGGCCATCTCCTGCAGCTCCCTCCTCGTACCCTGCTTACATTATTTATCTGTCTCTAAATCTCTTGTTTCTGGTTATTTAGAACCCCTGTATTTCCTTTGCAGTTGTGAGGTCCATAAAAAGCAGTTTGATAGTTATCATACTATCAACCAAGTTTTCTCAATGCATGACGTACCCAGTGCCAGCATCTTTTCCCCACTCACCTGTTCATTCCCTGGGATTTGTTTAGTTTTCTCCATAAACTCCACGTGATTTATTCAGTGATACCAGTTTAGTCTTATCTGTCTACGCAGGCACCACTTGATGACTGTAGTTTATTATTAAATGTCTGAGTTCTCCATTTCTTTCGTCAAATTTCCTGGAGGGCAATGCCATCCTTACAAGGCTAGGCACCAGTAACAACACTAAACTAAGTGGTTGTTTTGTCTTGTTTATTCAGGGTAAGTGTACTAATATTTGTGGTACAAAATGAGTGTTTCAACACCAGAAATACCTTTTTTTTTTTTTTTTAAATCATTTGACAGTTTTGCAAAATTTTAAAATGGCATCCTAATCAAGTGTGCCAATAATATTCATATTTGGTAATAAATCTATAAAACATTGTGATCGACTAGAACATGTTCAACTGAAATAGTGAATTTGTCAGTACGCATGTGCCTTGATGGACTTGACTAGGTACTAAAATTAGAGAGAATCTATTTTTTCTAAGATATATTGGTCAGTTTTCATGGCTGTTTTATTGAATGCATATTCATGTAGGTTGTTCTTTCAACAACTGTAGCCCGAGTTAGTTCCCTGGTGGACCGTAAATAGCATCAATCTTACATCACCATCACTTTGTCCTAAACTGTGTTTAATGATAAATCAGGTATATTTCTGTTTGGCTTGTGTATATATATATATAAATATACATCTTTTAGAAATGAATATATATTTCGCTTTCAGTGTATTGTTCTGTGCCGTTTAAATTTTTCCAGAATTACCATTAATTTTTTTTTACACTGTGTATATAATAATTTCACAATGCTTTCCATACTACAGTCCCTGTAAAAGCACATTTCTTTCCGGACATATCCTAGAGCAAAGCTTTCCAAACCTTTTTTGTTGTCAAACACTTTATAGACAGGCATAATTTCTTGACACAGTAACTTAGTCTACTAGAAAATCAGAGGTTAAACTAACCCCCCATAAAAGATACGGATGCATACAGAAATTTTGAGAGAAAAATTAAACAAATGTGAAAGACATACTATTTAATGATTAAAGAAAGCAACTGACATAAAGATAAATTTAAATATAACAAGAAATAGCTTTACCTTTGCGGGACTGGAGCCAACACACTAATGTGTAGGGACAGTCATTATGGAAAGCTCTAATCTGGAGTGTGTCACATCTTTTGTAACTTCAGTTTGCTCTTGTAATTGTGAAATGTTAACCCTTTAATTAGGCCCGGGACTTAATCACAGTAGGCATATGTATGACGTAAAAACGTAATTGTCCTGGTGAAAACAAGAGATATGGTCACCCTACATATGTCATGTAAAAGCTGGTTTCTGCATTGATAATTGTTATGGGGGTCCACATAATATGGATGTAAATTGTGGGTAAAAAGTAATGAAGCAGTGAAGAAATAGGAGGCTTTGGAGATGTAGTGTTTAAACAAGATATTGAAAATGCCATCAACAGGAAAGAAAACAGATGTAAGGATTTTTTGTTTGCAGCTGCGCAAGATATTCATCAGAACCATTTGATTTCTGCTAACATTCTCTGTAATCAAATCAGCTTTATATACACATATTCTCTGCAGTCAGATCAAGTGACCATGTGGAAATACAGGGAAGGATTACAAAGTACATCACAAGAACAAAGGCTTGCATATGAGATGTTACTATATTTTTAAAAATGAATTATGTTATCCCAAATCACTTTAAATATTCTCTAGGATATATTACACAATTTAAATAATTAATTATTGAAAACGAAAGGATACTTATAATATGCTTCTACAATCTTAACAATAAAAATACTATGCTATATCAAATAACCAAGAGTAATTGACTATCCAGTACTGACATAGAAAAAGATTGTAACTCTCAGATGGGTTAAATAGGATAGTGTTGATTTAATTACTGTTACCTGCTACTGCTGCTACTACTACAGCTACATTTGTGCATATTTTCAGTATCTGAATCAAGCAAATACACCTATAATTCAATAGTCACATCAAATAAAAAAAAAACATCCTCAGAAGTCAAAAGAAATTAATTGAATACACCTAATATGCTGGTAGCTGAAAAAAGAGAATAGCTATAGATGTCTTCGAACTTGCTGTAATTATTTGTATATGTAATGTCCAGTCAGACAGTTTACACACTGACTAACAATGATGATCCAGTTGAGACAAGTAATTACGGCGCCGATTTCTTCATTCATTGATGCAATCAGTTGCTACCATCTGTTTCTTCTGCAAACAGTTTTGTTTATCATGTCCTGTACATTCTTAAATAATGAATCCTGTACCCAATAACTGTTTTGGTAATGTTACATTTTGTTTTCAATTCTTGAATATTGTTTATAGTTGAATTTTTCTTTTCATTTTTACATTTTTGCATATATCAAGCCTTCTTTTAATTAATTATATATTATTGTAGTGCATAGTTTCTTCAGTTAGTGTTTTTTTTCCCCATTAATATTTTCTTTATTGAGACAGTTGTAGTTAACACAAGATTAAAGATGATAACTAGTATATGTTCATCTGTGTTTTTTTCTTCTACCACTGACAGCAGGTAAAAATATCTTTGACAGTTTTTGTTGTAGTGCTTTAGTTATTATTGTCTTATTATCAAGTTTGACCACACAAGCAATGGGTGGATGGAATATGCAAGGTTGTAAATACCGGCATCTACATAGCACATACTGAGGCTCACACCTGATGCTTCTTCAGAACCTGACACTGAAAGGCAAAACAGGGCTAGCGAAGAAGAAGTTACTGTCAACACCCTGGTATATAGGTATCCACCTCTTGAGAGATGTTTCTGTATCTGAGATTTCATCCCTAACTTATGTTCTTTACCCGCCTTGGATCGTTACACTAATTTCAGTTATATAGATCCTTGTAACAGGGTCCCAGTAACAGTTGCTTGAGACTAATAGAGTTAATACATACTCTGCTCATCATTAAATTTTTTTTTTAAAGTAATTGGCAAGCATGAATGTCCAGTAGCAAAATAGAACAGAAAAACTCTGCATATCTCAGTTACAACCTAGTTGGGTTTAACAGAATATCATTGTTTAAAATTATTACCGCTACTACTACATCATAACGGAAACTCATTCAGTTTGTAATTACTCATGGTTCTTGTAGGAACTGTTGGTAATGGTCATACTGTATTCAACATTCAGATTTTTGCTAAAACAAAGGTCATAATCTGGGTTATATATCTTCTTCTTCTTCAGCAATCCAAGCCCTTGAGGTTCATTGCAGCAGATATCACCTGGCTCCATTTGTCTCTGATTAGTCCTCTTTGGTAACTTCAAGTGTTTACAGATCTATCTAGATATTATCTCTCCACAGTCTTGGTCTGCATAATGGTCTAAAACCATTGAACTCCCTTGTGTACCAGTTTCTACCTCTTTGGCATCTGACATTCTCTCAGTATGCCCCAGCCATTTCAGTCTCTTAGCCCTTGTAATGCCAGTGATCATCATTTGTCATCCATTTTCATATAAATTTGAAAAATAAAAACTATGCATATATATATATAAACACCTGCTCTTAGAGACCAGAACAACAAGCCACTGACAGCTAAATGTGCCATGATTTACATGACATTAAGTACACAAATCGACTCAGATGCACTGTATCACTGTATACACTCAACTACACCTTTGATGTATATACTGTTGTTTTTAATTTGATGTGCTGTTTGTAATTTGTGTGTGGTTTCCTCCTAAATGAATGTCAGTTTCTAATTTTTTTCCTCATAAATTTGCTGAGAATTTATTAAAGCTTTTTCTAAAGAGAATAAAAGAAGCATTCAAACTTCACTAATCCCTGAGTTGACTCAAAGTTTTATTTTATTGATTACAGTCTCCAAAAACCTTTGATAACAGTTTTCCGTGTTAACTATAAAAAGAAAACTATAATCACTGAGCACATCATTATCGCTAGCAGTTTGTTGCAAGTACAGTTCCAGTGCTACTGTTACCATTGT